GTTTACAGCTCATGGATAATTTATGGCCCCAACAGAGAACCTGGAAGTAGCGAGGGGGAGGGGCAGGGCCTGGACCCGGCTGTGGACAAGGGTGTTAGAGAGAAGCCATCTGGGTCCAAAGTGTGTGTGAGGTTGAGGAAGGGGCTCCGAGGCCAGGGACGTTTCCGTTTTTGAGGAAACCAACGCATTAAACAATAAACAAACAAAATAGGGTTATCAAAATAATCGTGCTAAAGGTTAAAGCCATACGACAAGCAGCTTCAGACTCCAGTCCTGCCCCGGTCTCTCAGTCTGGCTGTATAACCTCATTTGGAGATAACATGAAAAATTTTAACGAGAGGGTTTGTTTTACAGCTATGAGGCCCTCAAATGACCCCCTACTCCCCACACCCACCCAAAACCAGGGAGAAAAGCCAGATTCCCCATTTAGATAGGCGGAACCGTGCCTCTTCCCAGCCTCTTCCTCCAGGAAGGCCAGGAGGATTTAGCCAGGGGGTCTAGGGAAAAGGAAGGAATCTGGCTACTCCTTATGGCACCCCGGGAACATAACATCACACTTTCCTTCTGAAAGGGAAGATGGAAAATGTGACCCAAAATGGAAAGTGTCAAGTTCTCTTGGTCTCTTCTTTGCATATGACCTATTGACCTAACTTAGTGAGTTCTTCCAGGGAGTCAAGGGATCAAGTATAGAGGCTCTTCGATTTACGATGGGATTGTGTCCTGACAAACCCACCATAAGTTGAAAATGCATTTAATAACATCTAACCTACAGAACATCATAGCTTAGCTGAGCCTGCCTTAAATGGGCTCAGAACACTTACATTAGCCAACAGTTGGGCAAAATCATCTAACACAAAGCCTGTTTTATGATAAAATATTGAATATCTCATATAATTTATTGAATGCTGTACTGAAAGTGAAAAACAGAATGGTTGTGTGATATTCCACGTAGGGTTTCTACTGAATGGGTGTCACTTTCACACTATGGTAAAGTCTAGTGATCGTAAGTTGAACCATTGTAGGTTGGGGACTGTATGTATATGTGGAGGGAGGGGTAAACAAGGAAGCCTATCCTCCCCTTTACCTCAGTTTCCCCACTTTAGTCATGGGCATGAGAGGTACTCCCCTCCCAAGGGCCATTTGGGGGACAGAAGAGATGCTATCCAGGCACCCCTGGCGCCAGCCAAGACCCAGGCAGGCAGTGATTATGGAGTGATGTGTCCACAGGTTGGGCCTGGGGCTGCTCTCAGTGGCCTGTCCCCAGCCCCCAGCACACTCCCATCTAATCCCCAAGTCGTCTTGGAACTTGATCATGAAGGGGGCTGGGCAGGGCTATGCCAGCCTGGCTTACAGTGAGCCTCAGCCCCGGTGCCCAACCCAGATTCTCTGGGCCTCGGTTTCCCCATCCATGTAGTTGAGGCCATCTGCCAGGACTGTCCTTGGATACGACAAGAGAAGACCTGGAGCAAGTCCCCAGAGTGGGGAAACCAACCATGGGGGGGCTTGAGTCCTACGACAGCCATTACCTCCCCAGCACCAACTGGACACAGCCTTCTCACATGGGGAAAGGGCCACTCTTTGTCCCTAGGGGAGACCTTTCCAGAAACAGGAAGCACCAGGGTGACACTTCAAGAATTACTTTTTATTTATTATTTATTTATTTATTTATTTTGAGACAGAGTCTTGCTCTGTCGCTCAGGCTAGAGTGCCGTGGCATCAGCCTAGCTCACAGCAACGTCAAACTCCTCGGCTCAAGGGATCCTCCTGCCTCAGCCTCCCAAGTAGCTGAGACTATAGGTGTGCACCATCACGCCTGGCTAATTTTTTCTCTTTTTTTTAATTTCCCAGCTTATTTCTTTCTATTTTTAGTAGAGATGGGTTCCTGCTCTTGCTCAGGCTGGTCTCGAACTCCTGAGCTCAAGCAATCCTCCTGCTTCGGCCCCCCAGAGTGCTAGGATTACAAGCGTGAGCCACTGTGCCCAGCCAAGAACTGCTTTTTAGATCTAAGAGGGGAATATCTTCCATTGGAATTTACTGGAATTTGGGGGGAGCCCAACGTACACTCCCTCCCCTGAACATTACTCTCAAGATTCAGGAAGTCACTGGTCCAAGCGACCCCAGCAACTCTGTGTCCAGGCCCCTAACATCAGGGCTAATGCCAGGAGCTGACAATGGGGACTGGGTGGAGGGGGTGGGCTCCAGAACCAGGACTGAGAGAGCGGCGGCCTGCTGGCTCCCATCCCATCGTAGGGGCTTTATCTGCACATCCTGCAGCCCTCACCTTCCTCTCCCTGGCCCCAGCTGACAGCTAAAGGGACAAGGCGAACACCCGAGACCAGGTATTTTCCCTCCCTCCCTTCTGTGAGTAGCTCTGATTTAGTGAGAAAAGGTCCAAACCCAGCTCTGTCACCAACCACTTTGAGGAGCCTTGGACGAGCTGCTTCTCATCCCACAGCATCGCCTGAGCAGAGGGACCGATAACTGCGTGCAGGACTGTTTTGAGGGTATTTGTCAAGGGCCTGGCACACAGTAGGCACTCAATACATTGTAGTAGCTAGGATTTCCTTAGGATGGGGTCTTTCTGGGCCCAGGGGCCTCTGTGGCATCTGATTGTGGCCCTATTATGTGGAGTTGGTCTCCCCAGCGCCCTTTTGGCCTTTTGTCCCTAACCCCCTGCCCATCACACTGCAGATTCTAGGGCCGGGGGGTGCTGGGTGGGTGTGGGGGGTGGTGAAGAGGTGGGCCCAGTGAGACAGAGCCCTGGAGGAGGCAAAGGCGTCTGCACTGGGTGGGGCTGGGAGACTGGCTGGAGGGCCCCAGAGGGCCCCAGGCCAGGACCGGTTCAGGGAGCTAGCTGGGCAATGGGGAGACGCTGGCAGCAGGGAGGGGTGGGAGGAGCTGGCAGCTCCCCAGAACAGGGGAGCTGAGTAAGGCGCACCAGACTGGGTGGCTGGGCCAAAGGCCTGGATTGGGGGTGCCTAGAGGGGCTGGCCTTACGCTCCCAGGGGTAACCCCTAACATACACGCTGCTTCACCATCACACACTCAGATGCACACTTGGACATACCTACCAACACACTGGGACTGCAGCCCCAGCTCCCTGAGCCCTCTTACCTGGCTCTATTTTCCCGTCTCACATAACCAACACACCTACCCAATTTCTATTTCCAACATTGACTGTTTACTGCCTGTCTCCTCGCCGCAAAGGCAGAGCACTTGGCATGCTTTGTTCACTACTGTATGCCCTGCACCTATAGCATGCCTGGCACATAGTAGGAGCTCAATAAATATGCGCTAGATGAGTGAACGAACCCCCTAAACATACAATCACATCACACGTGCACACTCACAGACACACGCAGAGACTCCTTCGCAGGCACCCAGGAGGCTACCGCAGACATTCTCAGACCTGTGCGCCCAGGCGCACGCTCACACCCAGATCCGCACATCCATGCAACACACGCACGCAAGCACTTCAGACCCACACCCAGCCGTCCAGATTCCAAAGCTGGTACTCACGACAGGCGCCAAGTCTGCACAGACACGCTCCAGCACATCCCACTCCCACCCTCTTCAGGGCCAGCCCTGCAGGGCAGCCCCTCCCAGAAACAGGAGTGGAGCCTCATTGGAGCTGACAACACAGCAGCTTGAAAGGGGTGGGGTGGCGCAGGGCCACCCTGGCACCTGGGAGCTGTCAGGAAACGCTACCAGGGCAGATGTGTCTCCCTGGCAGACCAACCTATGGGAGGGAGGAGGCAGGAGTGAAGCTCCCAGCCTTGACCCAGCCCTTGTTCCAGACTCAGACTCTGCCCTGCCAGCCCTCATCCTGACCAAAGGCCTAGGGGAGGGGTTTGGGGTGGGACAGGGAGTCCTCCTGGGCACAGAGGTGTCACCTGGCACATCTAGGGGGAGGCCAGGGGTGTGGCAGTGAGAACTCAGCTTCTCAGCCTTGACTCCACTCTCCAGCAGGAAGACACCTCTGCCACCCTGCCCCCTAGGAGGCTAGAAATGTGGGACAGCATTGTCACCTGGCTGGCCTTGGCCCTGGGTCCCTCCCAGAGAGGCCTCTTTTGCCCCTGCCTCCCTACTGTGAGTCACGGTGTTGGGTGGTAGCTACCAGGCACCATCCTTGCCCCTACACCTCTGAACTCTCTGTCCCCTGGAGCCAATATAAGATTGGGCAAGAGGGGTCTGGCTGTGCCACTGCACCCCAAGAAGTGCCAGGTAATCAAACTACATCCCTAAGGCTCCCCTGGCTGCTGAGCTGGGTCCCCAACCTGACTCTGGAACGGAGGAATGGTCACGGGGGAAGGGCAGGGCACATTTGCTCCGACTCTAAGGAACCTGGGTCAGTAAATGCTGGAAATGTAAATAGCAGGAGGAAACGTCCTTGGCCCCCTCCTCACACTTGCCACATTCCCAGGGAAGTGATGCTGAACTAGGAAAATGCAGGATATCCCATCTTAGAAATCTGAATCCACCATCTTCCCAAGCCTGGGGCGGGCACTGTGTCCTCACGCCCCCTGGCGGCGGGTTTGCAGTCGCACGCTGCACGCGCTCACTCACACAACATCCCCCCAGCGGACCGAGGACCAGCCTGGGTGCCAGACTGGGCCCCTCACCCACTCTACAGTTGAGGGGAGATGGGAGCAGAGGCAGGGAGGGCAGGACCTGTGTCGTCGCAGGCAAGCCCTGGGAGACCGGACCCAGGTGCTGTGTTTATTGCAAACATTTATTGAGCACCTGCTGTCAGGGCACCGGAACGGCTGGACTCCCGGTCCAGTGCTCTTCAGGACCCTGGCTGACTCTCTGCAATAATGTCTGAGACTCCCACCAGCAGCTGGAACCTTCTCCTCCAGGTAGGGATGCAGCAGGGAGGACGACAGACCCCCGTGAGCCCACCTGCCACTTTGTGGTCCAGAGACAGAGAAGAGACAGACAAGACGGGGTGTGGGCAGCAGTGCTCACAGTGGGACAGGACAGGGGCTCAGTCAGCTGTGTCCGTTTCAAGTTTTTAATAAATAGTTCTTCCTGCTGCCCAGGCCGGCGAGGGTGGTGCCATCAGGCTCAGGCTTCCCAAGCTCCTGAGGGGAGAGGGGTGTCCCCTTCTCATGCCAGGTCAGGCTCTGGCTCTAAAAGGAAAGGGGAGAGCACTGGGGTTACCTCCCTCAGCAGGTGTCCAGGTGCTGTCCTGGCAGGAGGTGGGGTGGGCAGGAGTGAGGCTCCCCAGGAACAGGTTTCAGCTGGTCCCAGCTCCAGAGGGGACACTGCACCTCTCCCTTTCCCCAAGCGGGACAGGGGTTGCTGGAAGCTCCTAGAGGAGGGATCCCAGCACCCACACACACATTCTGGGCTCTGAAGTGCAGTGGGTGGATCCATCTGTCCCCAGCCTCCATCCCAAACTGCATCCCTCCCCCACCCCCATCCAGGACCCACGTTACTGACCAGCCTCAGCCTCGTCACCCTTGGCATCTGGCTCCTGCCACCAGTCAGCATAGATGCCCTCCTCATAGTCACCTTCCCCCTCAAACTCGATGTCGGATGGGGCATCCTTGGGCTGCGTGGGCAGTTCTGTCTCCTCCAGCTCCATCTAGAACAGCCCCAGTGTTGAGTGAGAAACGAGGTCAGGGTAGGCCCAAGCCCAGAAGGGCTGGCTCCCTTCCTGGCCAAGGGGACTCCTACTCACCCCTCAGCCCCCAAAGCGTCTTCTTCCCTAGTCTTAAGGTCTAATGAGAATGTTTTAAGGATTTCTCCTGCCAAGGTCCTACTGCCAAACTGCCCCTTCCCTGAACGGATGCATGGTGCTTCACCTGCAGAGATCTGGTGTTAGCACGAACATTGCCCCCTCCACAGTCCCATCTCGTAGGCATAAACACCCTGGTGACAATACTGCTGCTTCACGCATAACGTTTGCTCATACTGTTGCCCTGCCAGCAACGCCTCTACTCCCCTGTGCACGAGTAGCTAGTTTTGTCTCCCTCACTGGACCGTGAGCCGCTTGGGAAAGGGACTGTGCCTTTCGCAACTAACCCCAGCCCCAAGCTCGGTGTCTGGCAAACAGCAGGCCACAAGTGACAGTCATCAAGATGGCTACCACTCACTGAGCACCTTCTATGTGCTAGCTCTAGATGAAGTGCTTTACATACTTGATGTCACTTAATTCTCACCGCAACGGTGTGAGATGGGCATGATTCTCCCCATTCAATGGGGAGAGGTGATGGATGAAGAAACAGAAGTTTGAGAGGCCACCTAAGGCTTGCGTGGAGGCTACCCACCTGGTAGGTGGTGCAGCCAGGTATGGCTAGCACCTAAGCCTGGGTGCAGACAGCGTGGACCCTGCCCATGTTTGATGAGCAGGGGTGTGTGAGCAAAGGAGGGGATGAATAAATAACCACTGAGCACAACACCAAGGAGACATTCAGGCTGTCAAACCCTCATTCGAAATCAATGTAATGCACTACGGTCCTTCCTTCCTGGCATCCAGTATTCGTTCAGTCATTTATTCGCTGCTTCATTCAAACTCAGTTCTGAGCAGGGAGCAGGAGCTCTGTGTAGGTGTCGTGTTACCAGCTGGGAGTAACCTGGTCCCCTGTCTTAGACCACAATCCTCCAGGGGACTGGCTGGAGAAGGGGCCCAGGAGATGGACCAGGGCTGCAAACAACCCCAGGTCCAGGCCACAGGTGGCCAAGGAGGAATGGAGGGTCAGAGTTCACACTGCGAGCCCAGAAGAGAGAGGCAGGGCATGCAGCAAGGGCTTCCTGGAGGAGGCGCCATCTGAACTGACCTGGGAGAAGCAGGACTGGGACATGTACAGAACACTGAGGTAGGGAAGAGAAGGGAAGCTGCAGAAAAGGGACAAGGACAGGCCGAGTACAGTGGCTCGCACCTGTAATCCTAGATTTCTGGGAGGCAGAGGCGGGAGGATCGCTTCGGCCCAGGAGTTTGAGACCAGCCTGAACAAGAGTGAGACCCTGTCTCTATAAAAATAGAAAAATTAGCCAGGCGTGGCGGTGGTGCCTGTAGTCCCAGCTACCCAGGAGGCTGAGGCAGGAGGATTGCTTGAGCCCAGGAGTTGGAGGTTGCAATGAGCTGTGATGACACCATTGTACTCTAGCCTGGGTGACAGACTGAGACCCTGTCTCGAAAAAAAAAAAAAAAAAGGGCAGGGGACAAGGACATCCTCACCTGCTTCACTGCAGCTAACTGCTGGGGACTGGGACTGAACTCTGGCACGTGTAGTGGCCCCAGGAAAAGGCCCAAGGACCCCATCACAGCCCTGGAGGGCAGGGGCCACTCACCTCGTCGTCTGACTGCAGGTACATGTGGGTGAACTCCAGCAGCTCCCGCAGCTCGGAGGTCTGGTTGTGGTAGAGCCTGGCTTCCTGGAAGGGGTGTGGGGCATGACTGAGCCGACTCTGCTGCCAGATGGCAGGGAGCCAGGGCTCCTAGGATCTGGGCCCACTGGCCCTCTTCCAGCTCAAGGACCAGGGAACAGATATCAGCTCACGTGCTGATTGAATAATCATAGATGCTTGGAGCGCTGGGTTAAGGAGGATTCTGAGGGTTCAGTGGGAAAGAGTGCCTCAATTGATTAGCAACGTCTGCCACTGACAAGGAAAGTGGGAGTGGCACCATGTGCCCCGTATTTGCCAGCCTTGCCCTAGACTCCAAGGGGTTTCCTCAGTTGGTCAGGCTAGGGGGGCCCTGGGGAAGAGGGCCAAAGGCCAGCAGTGAGGGTGATAAAGGTGGGCAGGAAGGCAGGCCGGAACGGACACATATTTTGGTACCTCCCACATCTAGATGTCCCCATTTTGCAGGTGAGGCAACAGATTGACGTCCCCAGGACCACACAGCTGTCAGGCTGGACTTTAAACCCAGGACTCTAACCACAACCCACATTCTTTCTTTCCACTTCCCCTCCTGCCTTCCGAGGAAGCCAGGAGATTTTTTTTACAAACTGCACGCCAGCGAGTGGTACCCACCTCCCGGGGCTGGAAGTCCTCCTCTTCCAGGCCCCAGCGAGCCCGGTGGAAGCGGTAATACACCAGGTTCTGCTGCATGACACTGTCCTTGGGGTCGAAGAGCATGTAGCTGGCGGCGCTGCGGGCGGCCTGGCGCACGTCATTCACTGCGGCAGGGCAGGGTGAGGAGCAGCCCCTTCAGAGTCCACCCTAGCCCACCCCAACCCCAGCTCCCCGCTCAGCCCAGTGCTCCTGCTGCCAGCCTCCTCCCAGAATGCCTGCTGGGCTCCGTACCCCACTCAAGAATAATGCAAACTAGCATGAGATGGGTACTTACCATGTGCCAGGCCACTTATGGCATCCCATTTTACAGACAAGAAATCTGAGACGTGGAGAGGTTAGATAAATTGCTCCAATTTACACAGCTGGAGCATGGTGGCACTGGGGAATTGGAGGACCTCAGCCTCTCTGCTATCTGCCTGCACCCATGAGGGGTCTCCCGGCCCCTTGGTTCTCAGCCCCTACACTCCAGCTCAGGTCCTGTCTGAATCTCGGCATCTCTGTGTTGCCAGAACCCTAGATGTTCTCTACCCTGCCCCAGTCTATGCCAGGATCTCTCGCAAGTGAGGAGAGCCACAAGTCCTGGTGCTTTTTATCAGTCCTGTGACTAATGGCCCTTTGGCCTCTGTGAGCCTCAGTTTCCTCATCTGAAAAATGGGTCCAGTAATGTCAGCTGCATGGTCTTGGTGAGCGGATCTAGTGAGAAAAAGGGCCTTGTAACCTGGCAAGTGCTTTGCAGCTGTTGGCTCTCCAGTCATTTGCCCGAGATGCTCTAACTCTCTGAGACCACCCTCTGTTCCCACTCACAAGCCTCTCACCTGCCCCAGTCCCCCAGGGGTCCTTCCCCATCTGCCCACGACCTCTGGTGTTTCCTCCCACCACCCAGGGGCCTCGGTTCTCAGGGCTGGCTCCCCACGACTCTGGGAGGCTCCCAGTGCAGCCCTCTCCCTCACCCCTTCCTCCCCTGCCCAAGCCCACCCAGGGGGCTCACACTTGTAGTAGGCAAACTGCAGGTAGTGATACATGGTGGCCACAAACTTGTCCACGAAGTAGCCGCCCACATTGGGGGTCAAATTGGTCTCACAGTCCACCTTGCACTGCAAGGACTCTGCAAAGAGATCTAGGGGTGGGCGCGGCAGTGAGGAGCTGGTGGTGTGGCTGAACAGCTCCATCCACTGACGGACTTCAAATCCCAGCTCTGCCTCCTGCGCCTGTTGCCTTGTCCAGAAAACGCATTGCTGTTGCAATCACACGAGAGATAACGCGTGTTTAGGGCATAGGATCTGTGATGCTGAGGAAGATCACTGTGGGCTGGGCTCACTTACCACCCCTCTGCTCAATCCCCAGCCCAAGCCAGAGGGAGCCAGGGCGTTCTGGGAGAACAGCAGGTGGGGTTTGGGGGCGAGACAGAAGCCCAAACAGAGAAGCAAAAGACAGCCGTTTCCTCCCAGGGGGCACCTTTGCTCCTGCAGTGCTCTCTTCCTGGAAGCCTGTGAATCTTAAGCTTTCTAGACCCTTTTGGGATGTCACTGCCTCTCTGCACGGATGCCCAGCACGTTGGACACTCCTGACTGTAGCGCTCTGCACCCAGCATCTCTCTGTGCAGACTGGAGGCTCCCTGAGGGCTGAAATAACACCTTACTCCTGTCCAGCTCCCCAAGACTTCGTAGTGCTCCATAAGAGGGAATGAGTATCTGTGTTAAGGGGCCTTAGGAAGCGGGGCTGGCTACCTGCTATGGCTGGGTAGAAGTCCTTGAAGTCCACCTGCTCGTGGGCCCCTTCACAGCCGGCCAGACACCGGGCAAAGACCGTCAGGTATTCGGCCAGGGCCCGCTCCATGTCCTCGGTGCTGCTGCGGAAATCCCCGCTGTTGTAGAGCTTCACAGCCCGGAGGAACACGGCCTGGGGGGAGCGGGGCAGAGGGAGTCAGAGGGACCCCAACACCTCCCCTGCTCTACAAGCCCTGTCCCTCCACCCCACCTCGTAGGGCTGGGCCTCTAGGTCCGTGAGGGAGTCGTCGGCGACGTCCAGCATCCCCCGGTAGTAGCTGAGATACTTGGCGGTCAGCTCGTGCTTCGGATTCCTCTGGAGGAAGGTGTAGGCCGCGGCCACCGCCTTCTCCAGCCGGTTAGCCTGGTGGGGGCGTGCAGGGAGTGGGTCAGGAGGGCCAGAGCCCGCAGCCCTGAGCGCACGGCGGGCTTCGTGCTCTGGGCGAGGGGCAACGTTCCCCCGACCGGCCGGTGCGGAAACCCGACGCCGCGCCCGAGACAGGCCCGGGGGGCGGGTAGCGCCAGAGGGCAGCGCCCACCTTGAACAGCGCGTAGTGCAGGTACTGGTAGGGCAGGCGGCTCTGGAAGTCGCGCAGCAGCTGGCGCGGCGGGTAGGGCACCTGGAAGGCGGGCAGCGTGCGCTTGCAGCGTCGCAGGCAGGCGGCGCGCTCCAGGACGTGGCCGAAGAGCCACAGCTCGCGGGCCCACTCGTCGCCGTCGCCGCCGCCGCCGTCGGGGCCGGGCGCGGCGCTGGAGGCCGCGGGCGGCGCGGGGCCGCTGCAGTTGGCGTGGCAGAAGGCCTCGCTGTCGCGCAGCAGCCGGTGCAGCCGCAGCGCCGCCTCGAGGTAGCGCGCGCTCTCGCGCCAGCTCTCGCCCTCGTACAGCTCCAGCGCGTGCCCGTAGGCCGTGGCCAGCGGCATCAGGTCCTCGGGCGGGAAGCCCCGGAAGCTGTACTTCTCGTACTGCCCGCCGGCGCTGCCCAGCAGCAGCCACAGCAGCCCCCAAGCCGCGCGACCCATGCCCCCGCCGGCCGGCTCTCCAGAGCTCAGGGCGGCCCGGCCCCGAGGGGCGGGCGGGGGCCGGGGCTGGTGGCGCGCCCGCTGGGTCTTAGCGCCGGACACCGAGGGCGGGACGGCGGGGAAGGGGCCTGGGTCGCGTCCCCCCTTTTTCAGAGGGTCCAGTAGTGTCCTAGGTCCCCTACGTTGGCCCGACCTCCTGCCCTTGGGGGATCTTCCCTTTGGCAGATAGTGGGTGGATAGGGGAACGCTTCACGCCAAAGATGGGGCATCGAGAAAGCCCCTCCCTACACAAAGATAGTGCCCCCCACCTTAAGATCAAGTCGCTGAGGGACGTGCTGCCTCCCTCAACCCTTCCAGGGAGGGTGAAGCCGGGGGACCCGGTCTTCCATCCCAGAGCCCCGCTGCACACTCCAGGTGTCTCCGCCCCCCCCACCCGCCGCCCACGTCGGGAAGCACACACCTGACTGCACCCTGCACGTCTCCCACTGTCGCCACCACCCTCCATCTCCATCCCCGCGTCACGAAGTCCTTCTTGCAGTCTAGCTTTTGCGGGACAAAGCTGCTCTTCCCTGGAGAGACCTTCTCTTGGAGGGCAGTTGGGGGAGGGGGACAAACACTGAGATACCCCTCAGATTCCGGGGCCTCACCACCCAGCCGGAGGGGCCTGGATTTGGGGGTGCCAGCAGAAGCAGCAAGGGATGCCTTAGGCCGGCTTTAGGACCCGGGGGCTCCGGAAAAAGAAGCTGAACTTTTTTTTTTTGGGAGTCCACTCGGACTACTCATCTTTCCCGAACCTCCCTCCCCGGCCAGGCCCCAGGTCTCTCAGCCCCGGTGGAGATGGGGGAGGGGAATCCGGAGCTCTTTGTGGCGCATTGCTCCCACTCCACTGCCCTCAGCCTGGCCCCCTCCTCCCATCCCACTCCAACCCCACACACCCCGCCCGGCCAGCTCAGTCTCCCCAGCCCCCATTCCACGTGGACCAGCCCGGGGCGGGGTGGGAAGGGGGACAGGAAGGGGGGGAGCCTCCTCGGGAGGAGGGGAAAGGAGGCTCGCTCGGCCTCACTGCCTGCAGTCCCAACTCCAGGCACCATGTTCTCCGCTGGGCCCCCCAGCTACACCCTCCTCCGGCTCCCCCTGCTGCAGTTGCTGCTGCTGCTGGTGCAGGCCGTGGGGAGGGGGCTGGGCCGCGCCAGCCCGGCTGGGGGCCCCCTGGAGGATGTGGTCATCGAGAGGTACCACATCCCCAGGGCCTGTCCCCGGGAAGTGCAGATGGGGGACTTTGTGCGGTACCACTACAACGGCACTTTCGAGGATGGCAAGAAGTTTGACTCGAGGTAATGTGTTGGGCGCCCCCAGACTCGCCACTGCCCTTCCCTGAACCCCGGATCTGGGTCCTGTGGTTGCCTTGTTGCCCCTTTTAAGCTCTGTGTCCCAGTACTCACTCGGTGATGCCCTAACCCTAGACAGCACCCCCAGGGGCTCCTGGACATCCATCTCCCCAAGGATGGCCCTCTGCTCCAATTCCGAACCTTCACCTCTCAAATGACCCCAATTTCTTTCACACAAGCTCTCCACGTCCCCCAAAGTACTTGATAATCAAGGTGCCCTGTTTACTTACCATTGCTGTATTTAAGGACAAGGTGGGAGGGGGTGGGGGTGGTCCCTGCTACGTGAGAACTCTGGGTAGCTGGTCATCAGCCTGGGACCCTCTACCTTTCCACCTACCGACTCCCTTCCTGGTTCCATCCCCAGTTTTCAGTGCCTTTGTGTTTAGAGAAGAGGGAATAGAACATTTTTTGGTGGGGGTGGGAATTTTCAGCAGCCAGTGGGCGGGCTTTTATAAAGCTGGTGGACATTATAAGACACTTGGATGGACCCGAGGAGTAGGGCATGGCTTGGTGCAGGGGCCCTGTCTGTCTACGTGTCACCCACTCGGACAGTGCTGCTCTGGGCTCCTCGGAGGGTTTTGTGCCACCCTCTGTGGTTCTCCGCACCCCCACTTCCCACCTCCCACCATTCCAGCTCTACCAGGCCAGTGCCCCAGGCTGCCCATCCTGCCAGCCTTTGGTTTGCACTGTTGTTGGTGTTGGCAGGGCAGGGCTGTGTGCCAGCCTCAGGGGGTAAACCTTGGGTCTCTGAGTTCCTCCTTCTTAGACCCTTCCCCAGACAACACACAAGTCAGCCCACAGGAAATTAGCGGCCAGGAGGCAGGCAGTATATACTGGGTGAGAATACGAACTTCAGAATTCAAAGGATCCAAATCCAGGCTATGACTGCAGACAAGGAATTTCGTCCCTTTAAGCTTCACTTTCTTTATCTAAAAAATGGAGATAAAAACAGCACCCACCTGCTAATGCTGCTGTTAGGACTCAAACAAGATGAATGAAAGTGGGTTTCTCACAGTGCCTGGCAGTCCTTGAGCAGGTTTGATACACATTGGCCTTGACTCTTATGAGAACCATATGCCCTGATGGAATTTAACTTGTAGAAACTTCTGCAGAGCTTGGGCCTTCATAACAGCACTGTGAAGGAAACAGGCCAGACCTAAAACCTGCATCGTGGGCAGAGCCAAGTGCAGGCAGTAGCCAGGAGTACAGCCCTCGTGCGGATTCTGGGACCTGGCTGGGGCCCAGCTTGTGAGTGTTGAGCTTGGAAAACTTTCTTAACCCAAGGCCCACTTCCATCAAAATAAAAAATTTCTGAAAACTGAAAATAAATGAAAAGTGTATTTCCTGGAGAAATAAAAGCCATGGCAATTTTAAAATAGGCCCTTTCAAAATTTGAAGCCATTGCCCATCCCCACCTCTGCCAGCTCTGCTTCCCCGTCCTTTTCTTGGAGAAGTGACAATGCAGTGGCAAAAACTGGGCTTTGGGATTCAGCTGACCACATACCAGCTATGTGACCTTGAGCAAGGCGCTTAGTCTTTCACGTCTCAATTTTTGTCATAAGAAAACCAAAAACAATAATGCCCACCTCACTGGGGAGATGATTAAATAACATAACGAATGTAAAACGCCAAGCATTTAATCCGGCATATAGTAATTGCTTAGTAAATGTTTCTCTGCTTCTCGGTGCTGTACTGACCACTCATTTGCAGTCCACAAATAGTAGCAGGGGCCAGGCCTGTACGCCCCACCCTACCCCCATCCCAGGGGAATAGAAGGCCCTGGCCTCCTAGAGGCGGTCCCCTTTTGTAACAGCCCATCCTCTTAAGATGGGCATCACGGCTGACCTAGGAGGGAGACTTGAAAGACAGGTGAGGAGCGTGTGTGTGCATCTCACCTGTGTACGGGGCGGGGGATCGTGTGTGCGCCTGTGCATGATGCTACCATGGGCAGAGGGAACCATGTGGCTGTGTGAGTCCTCCCCTCTGCACACCTGAGGCCCCCATAACCCATCTGTCCCTCCCCCAGCTATGACCGCAGCACCTTGGTGGCCATCGTGGTGGGCGTGGGGCGCCTCATCACCGGCATGGACCGAGGCCTCATGGGCATGTGTGTCAACGAGCGGCGCCGCCTCATCGTGCCTCCGCACCTGGGCTATGGCAGCATCGGCGTGGGTGAGAAGGGCCGGGCACAGGCTGGGGGTGGAGGAGATCAGGAGGCAGAATCAGGGATCCCAGGGCCAGAAAACTGAAGTGCAGAGACAGGGAGCGACTTGCCCAAAGTCATGCTGCATATGCAGTATGAACGGTGGCAGCTCTGGGACTAGAGTTTCGGTCTCCTGCCACTGGGATGAGAGGAAGGGGAGTGACAGGGCCCCAGGTGGGATCTTGGCTTGGCTGGAAAGGAGAGGAGCTAGGGGTTGGGGGGAGGACGGGCGCAGGACTCTCACACCCTACTCCAACCCCACCCTGGGGTCTGCACTACACACAAGCCCCTGCTGCTGTGCCCTCACAGCGGGGCTCATCCCACCGGACGCCACCCTCTACTTCGACGTGGTCCTGCTGGATGTGTGGAACAAGGCAGACACCGTGCAGGTGAGCATCTTGCTACGCCCGCCCCACTGCCCCCGCATGGTCCAGGACAGCGACTTTGTCCGCTACCACTACAACGGCACTCTGCTGGATGGCACCTCCTTCGACACCAGGTAATAAGGGGCCGGAGGGGAGCCCTGGGGCACTGGGGGCTGTGGCATAGAGAGGGGAAGTCCAGGGCCCACCTGCCTCTCCCGCCTCCAGCAGCACCACCTCCACCTCATTCTCTGCAGCTACAGTCGGGGCGGCACTTATGACACCTACATCGGCTCTGGTTGGCTAATCAAGGGCATGGACCAGGGACTGCTGGGCATGTGTCCTGGAGAGAGAAGGAAGATCATCATTCCTCCATTCCTGGCCTATGGGGAGAAAGGCTATGGTGAGGGCAGGCGGGGACTCAAGGGGGAATTCTCCAGAAGAGGGAAACCAGGGCTCCGCATACAGTTGTTCGGGTTGTGTGCTGCATAGGCGCGTCCATCCAGGGAGGCAAGTCAGGATGAAATCTAGCCCTTGGTGATCATCTCACTAAGAAGAGATGCTTTGTTCTGATTCATGCAAAGGCTCAGGGTGAGCTAGTGGTGGCCCTGTGGGAACCCAGCTCAGGTCTCACAGGAGGGGCAAGAAACCAGGCTGCTGATGGGAGGGAAAGGGCATGGTGCCCACCTAGGCCTTCCTGGGTCAAGGAGCGCAGGTTGCTGCTCACCTGTATGGCTCAAGCCCTATCCCTTCCCCAGGGACTGTGATCCCCCCGCAGGCCTCCCTGGTCTTTCACGTCCTACTCGTTGACATCCACAACCCAAAGGACACTGTCCAGCTAGTGACACTGGAGCTACCCCCGGGCTGTGTCCGGAGAGCCGTGGCCGGGGACTTCATGCGATACCACTATAATGGCTCGCTGATGGACGGCACCCTCTTTGACTCCAGGTTGGCACCCTCTTTGGCCCGCTCTTTGACTCCAGGTCGGGAGGGTCCTGAGGAGGGGGGATGGTGGCTGAGGAAAGGTGGAGGAAGAAGCTGAGGCAGGAAGGAAAATTCCAGGTGCTGGGGTCACCCTGGGCAGCAGGTGGGGGGTCACTCTGAGCTGCCTGGAAGGGGAGGGGACCCTTTGACTCCCTCCCTGGCCTCCCACCTTGTGTTACAGCTACTCCCGCAACCAAACCTACAATACCTATGTCGGGCAGGGTTACATCATCCCGGGCATGGACCAGGGGCTGCAGGGCGCATGCGTAGGGGAGCGCCGGAGAATCACCATCCCGCCCCACCTCGCCTACGGGGAGAATGGAACTGGTAGGGCTGCTCCCTGCTCCTGAGGCCATCACTCCCCCAGCTCCTTCCCGAAACTGCCCATCGTGGCCACCCCCCACACACCCATGGTGGAATTCCAGCCACCACTCTGCCCCTCTCATCCGAGAAACAAGACACGTGTGCAGTTTACATCTGGTCGCCCCACTGATTCCTGCCACACGGACTCCATCCATGTTCTCCAGGGCGGAGAGTGCCCCACTGTCCCCTTCCATGGTGGAGAAGGGCAGCCACCTCCCAGGTTTGGGGACGGAGGGTGGTTGGAAGAACAGGATCAGCATAGCCCTAGGACCCAGCTGTGCTGGGAGCCTCAGTGTCCTTACCTGTAAAATGGGACACATCATAGTGACTGCAGGGTAAGTTACTCAGTTCACAAGGTGATGTGTGGAAAAGAGCTTTCTAACCGGAATGCCCCCTCCCCCGCCCCTCACCCCAACAAGAGTGTATTAGAAGAATTGACTCTGTGGACAAACGTCCTGTGCCATCCTCGTGTGGATCCCCATGGCAGGCAAGGGGTGTCAGGTCTAGGGACCTCCATGGAGACCTCAAGCAGCCTCTCCTAGAGCTCCCAGCTGACCCCACTGCTCCATTCTGGCCTCAGGAGACAAGATCCCTGGCTCTGCCGTGTTGATCTTCAACGTCCACGTCATCGACTTCCACAACCCTGCAGATCCCGTGGAAATCAAGACACTGTCCCGGCCCTCTGAGAGCTGCAATGAGACTGCCAAGCCTGGGGACTTTATTCGATACCACTACAACTGCTCTCTGCTGGACGGCACCCAGCTCTTCTCCTCGTGGGTCCCGGGTGGGGCCAGGGCTGGGCAGCTGGGTGGGCACAGGTGTGGGGAGTCCTCCTAAGGGTACCCCGGACTCCAGCTCCTCCCTGTGCATCCCCGAGCCTCTGAGGGGCACTCAGTCTCTTGCTCCCCTGAGTCTCTATCTCAGAGAGCGTCAGGGAGCCATGAGGACATGGGATTCTTTACTCTGGAGGGGAAGGGACAGAGGGGAAGGCGAAGCCAGCAGCAGGGGAGAGCTGTTGTTTCCATTTTATGGAGGGGACACCAAAGCAGGGAGAGATGAGCCCACGAGGCTGCACTTTAGGGGCAGTGGCAAGATGAAAAGGGAAGCCCATGTCTGCACCGCTGGGCCTCTTTGCTCTGCTGCGTGGCTGGGCACTGGGGAGGACTGGAACTGAGGGCTGGTCCTGGGCCCACCTCTGGGAGAGCAGGCTGCAAACTGGCCATCTGCTCTCCCTCAGGCATGACTACGGGGCACCCCAGGAGGCGACTCTGGGGGCCAACAAGGTGATCCAAGGCCTGGACATAGGTCTGCAGGGCATGTGCGTGGGAGAGAGACGGCAGCTCATCGTGCCCCCGCACCTGGCCCACGGGGAGAGCGGAGGTGAGGGGCCTTGGTGGCTGGTGGCGGGGAGCCAGGGAAGCCTTCAGGATGCTTCTATACCCATCCCACAGCCCACTCTCCAGCCCCGAAAAGGGGAAAGTGAGGCTGGTGGGCTGGAGAGCACACTGTGAAGCCAGGCCTGATGGGGGCCCTTCCCTCCCTCCAGCCCGGGGGGTCCCTGGCAGTGCTGTGCTGCTGTTTGAGGTGGAGCTCGTGTCCCGGGAGGACGGGCTGCCCACAGGCTACCTGTTTGTGTGGCACGAGGACCCTCCTGCGAGCCTGTTTGAAGACATGGACCTCAACAAGGATGGAGAGGTCCCCCTGGAGGAGGTGGGTGAGGTTCAATCCTTATCTCCACGCCCACACACTCACCCCACCCGGGAAGCCACCTGGCGGGGCACGTGTGGCAAGAACAATGCGTGTCCCCCATCCTGCCTGACCACCCCGCCCCTGTGCTGAGTGACATACCTCCGGCCCCTTGTCCCTGCCTTTTCCTTGGCACACATGCAGCCTGTTTCCCTACCAGGGCCATCACTGACTGTGCCCTGCCATGCCCTCCACCCTGGCCCCATCCAGGACCCTAGCACCAGCGCCTGTCCTCTCCCAGTCCTTACTGAATTGGGGGTGGGGGGCAGCTGGGGGAAAAAAAGAAAAGAAACCTTCACCCAGGCCCTTCCCAAGGCCGCCACAGCTGCTCAGCCTCAACTCTCACTGCCCACCCTCCCCTGCCTCCCCCTGCCAGTTCTCCACCTTCATCAAGGCTCAAGTGAATGAGGGCAAAGGTCGCCTTATGCCTGGGCAGGAGCCTGAGAAAACCATAGGGGACATGTTCCAGAACCAGGACCGCAACCAGGACGGCAAGATCACTCTCGAGGAACTCAAGCTGAAGTCAGACGAAGACCAGGAGCCGGTGCATGAGGAGCTCTGAAGGGCAGGGGCCTGGGCCTGGCCCCAGATACAAAGGCCCACTGCTAGGGGGATGTGGCAGTGGGACTGACCTGCTGACAGTCACCCTCCCTCTGCTGGGAAGACGTCTAGGAGCCAGACGTCTAAAAAGTTGTCAGAGGAAACATCTGTAGTCTTCCCGCAGCACAGATCTCTGTTCCATTTTCCTCTTCCAACCCCAAAGTCCTTCCTTGAAAGGAGTTACAAAGCCAGTTTGGGGGCGGTGGGGTCCGAGGTTGGATAGGGCCATTGCTGGCCCCTGGCCCACCCACCCCACATTACTAGACAGGGCTGAGCTCACTTTATTTCCCCAAACTTCCCCTTTATTTGTGCTTCTCCTCGCCATCCCCACCTCCCCAGGAGCATGGATCTGGGCTAGGGGACCCCTCCGGCCCTCCTCCCCAGCCCTGACCGGCTGCCAGGGTAGCTCCCGGAGGGCAGCCCTACCTCACCTGTCTCGTCCGCCCTTCTCAGTTCTCACTTGCCTCTGGTCGGGGCTGAGCTGTCCCTGGGGTGCTGGAGGTCAGGGCTGGACTTCAAGTCACCCTTTTTCCCTAAAGAGGCTCCCTTCTCTAAGGCACCATGAGAATAAGAAAGCGAAGGGTGTGTGTGAGGTAGCCTGCTTAGGTGGGTTTTGGGGCTATGAGATCTTTGGGTTTGGGGCCGAGGGGTGGGAGGGCGGTGGGCAGAGCTCTGCACACTCAGAAAGCTAAACTGGTGTCAGATCCCTCTCATTCGTGCCAAATAAAAGGTAAAACTGAAGGCCTCAGGACGTGGTCTTTTGGAATGGGGTGGACCCAAAGATTGGCGAAGAGGAGGCACCCAGGCTGTTGTCCTGGCCTCGTGAGCACTGGACAGGACCAGGGGCTCCCCCACAGGTTTCCTGCCTCCCCCAGGCCTAACCTGGAGGTTTCATGTGGAAAGGGAGCCCTGGTGTCTCCCAGGGAGGGTGGATGTCCAGAGGAGAGAGGCCTGTAAGGGAGGCGTGGAGGGATGATCCCTGTCCCCAGTTGTCCCAGTTGAATGGGAAAGACAAGGACCCTGGCTTCAAACACAACCTACAAAGCTCAAGGATTAAGTTAAACTGCACAGATCGGATAACACTTTCAGTAGATCATTTCCAATGCTGTGCTGTTCGCACCTCTCCCCTCTCCTGGCATCGGCCATTCCCACCTGCCCATCCCTCTCTCTCCTGCCAGAGGAAAGGTAATTGGGTTCCAATATCCAGAGTCTCGGGGGAGGACTAGCTTCAGTGCCAGCCAGGCCACCTGCCCTCACTTGCCCGACTGGACTCCAGCTGCTGTGACCGAGATGACATGACCTGAGCCTTCTGAGGACGGGGTGGGGACTTAGGAGAAAAAATGATGGGGCAGACCCCACACAGGGGGTGCCAGGGGTGCCCCGCAAGCACCAATTTCTTGCCTGGGATCCCCTAAGAGATGATTGCTCCTCACAGCCAATGCTTGACACTTCCTGGCCCCAAAGCATCCAGAAATCTGTTTGATTGAGGTTCGAACGTGGTTGCCAACTCAGCCTCACGTGGTAACCGCTCCCTCCTCCCCAAATCTAACAGAACAGCCCTGAAGTGAAGCAGAGAAATGCAGCTTGAGGCAGAAGAAAAAGGCACAGGCTTTGGTCAGAAACAATCAAATCCCGGCTCTAGTTCCTACCTGTGGAGTTGGGGCGAGTTATTCATCCTGCCTGAGCCATCTGCAAGCAGGAGGAACTACACCTACTTGTAGGGTCATCGTGAGGATCAACCGGCAGGCATTTAAGTGCCCAGAGCGGCGCCCGGTGCACGCAGGCACCCAGTAGCATTTGTATTACTCCTACTTCAGATCTGCACATACACACGACTTCCCAACCACTAGCCATTCTCCGCAGGGGGTGTGCAAGCTATTTTCTCTAAGAGTGGACAGGCTAAGAAAACATCAGGCTGGGTGTGGTGGCTCATGCCTATAATCCCAGCACTTTGGGAGGCCAAGGCGGGAGGATCTCTTGAGGCCAGGAGTTCAAGACCAGCCTGAGCAACATACCAAGACCCTCTCTCCAAAAAACACAAAAATTAGCCAGGCATGGTGGTGAGAGCTTGTAGTCCCAGCTACTCAGGACACTGAGGCAGGATACCTTGAGCCCAGGAATTCGAGGTTACAGTGAGCTGTGACAACATCACTGTACTCTAGCCTGGGCAACAGATCAAGGCTCTGTTTCTAAAAAAAGAAAGAAAGAAAACACCAGGTCAACTGGCTGTTGTACTTTTTTTTTTTTTCTTCAAAGGCGCCTTAGAGAGAATTCAGCTAGTTCTTGACCCTGCAAGTCAACAGGGAGGAAGGGCAGGAAAGAAACCGTGAGGACTGCCAGCAACGCCGGGCAGTAGTGCACACCTCATTGACACTTCGGCACAGTTTCCATCAGGTCCCTGGTCTCAGCACTCCCTTGTGGGTCATTATCCATTTTAGTGGCCCTGGACCCACGATAGGTGGAGGAGGGACAGCCAAGATCATTGGGAAAATCCACATCCAAATGGATTCCCCTGGGAACCCCTAAAGAGGGGGGGCCCTCAGACAGGGCCGCCCCAGCTCAAACAATCCCAACTCAATTTCAAGTTTGATGGCTCCATCAGAATAAAGTCAAACCATTCCAAGCCAGAATTGCCTTTTTCCAACCACCGCCCCCACCCCCACCCTAAGCAACTGCATTTAGGCTGTGCTTGGACAGGCCCCCAGGCTAATTCCTGGTGGTTTGCAAACTGTGTTCCATAGAGCCTTAGAGGCTTCTCGGAGATTCCTGTGCAGGCTCTGCCTCGCCCTCCCATACTCCCTGAATCGGAATAACTCTGTTTTTTCAGTTTTCTTTATTTCGATCTGTTTCACACATTATATTTATTTGAAGAACAGTATCCCATGTTTAAAAATGTTGAAAAACAGAATCGTTGGACTAGACAATCCTTAGAGCACTAACATGCTGTGGTCCACGGTTCATCGGGAACAGCGCCTGTGCCCCCACCTGGCAGGGCCTCCCTCTAGCCTCCAGTGATGAAGGCACCAGGGGAGAGGAGGAGGAGGGGCAGGAGGGGCATGGAAGGACCCAGTCTTGGAGGCCCTGGACTTTTCTCTGTGCTCACAGAGGAACAGCCTCCCGGAGGTGTCCCCTCCTCGTCTTGGCCGGCAGGGCCTGGCCCGAGCCTGCGCCCTCAGGAGCCCTGTATCTCCATCTGGTCCCCCTGGTGCAGGATGTGCTGCAGCAGCCCATTGACCACGTCCAGCGTCTCGTCCTTCTCCAGCACGATGTCATAGGAGTCCATGTAGCGCTCCCGCCGTTCCTCCACCTGCCCGGGGTGAGGGAAGGAGCCCGAGAGACCCCAAAATGCCCAACCATCCTTGCTTACTCTCAAGCACCCGGGGCTGGGGAGGAGGGCATTCGAGCAGCAACTCCCAGCTCCCTTTAGAGAGCCTGAGGAGTTCAAGGTTACAGGAACCTGCTCATTGGAGACACAGATGGGTGACGGGCAGGGCTGCCACCATTAACCCTTGGGTCAATGTCAAAGGACAGTAACAAGGATCAAAACAAAAAAACAGACGCTGCCTCTAAACCCCCTGGACTGAGTTTCATGCAGCTCAAGCATCCTCGTGGGCTCCAGCACCTGCTGGCTGAGGAGGAAGCGCACTGGCGGCTGCCCAGCTCGTCCTCATACTTTGTGTCCCTTTATAACCACGCTGCTTTCACCTGTCAGTCTCCGGTCTGTTCTTGTTATTTTTCTTCTCTAAATTATAAACCCATGTCCTGAATACAAACATCTCCCAACTCAATCATGCCTTGCAGGTACAATTTAGGAGAGCTGGTAATCAGCCTGTTTCCTAAACTCTACCACCTTGGACAAGCTACTTCACCTCCTTGTCTCAGTTTCCTTATCTGTAAAATGGGGATAATAGTCACTACATCCAAGAGTTGTTGTAAGACTTCAATCAATTAATATCTGTGAGATGCTGAGAACAAGGCCTGACACAGGGAATGCTCTGTAAATTTAGGCCGGGATCAAGTGCCTGGCACGATCCTCTCTCTGAACTCCTGTGTCAGGCCATGTGGTGAGCACACAGCCGTCATCACTGGGTGTCTGTTTCCTATGAGATTATGCGCTCTGAGAGAATGTGGCTTGTGTCTTACCTCTGAACCCGTGATGCTCTACACAGTGTGCAGCACATAGAAGGTGTTCAGAAGCATTGATAACAGGAATGCAAAGAGAAGACAGCCCTGGTTCCCTCCCTACCTTGTCATTTAGGAAGCCGATCTTGAGAATGTTCTGTACACCAGGAACCCCATCAGCCATCGTGAGGTCCCCCATGGAGTCTCCAAGCAGGATGATGTTGTTTTTGCCCTGCAGCTGCTGGAAGTAACTGGAGTTCTCGCACACGGAGCTGTTCTTGTTGTACGTGTGTATGAGCTGGCCCTTAAAGCCCTGTAGGAAACCCTAAAGAATCAAGACAAGAGACAGACAGAAGGGCTATAGGGACACATGTGGCACCAGTTTTCCAATGTCTCTGTCACAGAGGAAAGGGAATTTGGAAAGCTATAGATAATGCCAAAACTTGACTGTTGCCTAAATCAGAGGTCAGCAAACTCGGGCCCATGGGCCAGATCTGGCCTGTTTTTAAAAATAAAGTTTTATGGCTACACTCATTTGTCTGCATATTGCCTATGGCTGCTTTTCTGTGCCATGATGGCCAAGTTGAGCAGTTGTAACAGAGACTATTTAGCTCACCAAGCCTAAAATATCTACTTCCTGGCCTTTTACAGGAAAAGTTTGTAACTCCTGGTTTAAACTAACAGGAGCCATCAAATACTGTTGATCATCTGTTTTGGTAGAAGCATGAAGTTTGTGACGTCAATGCTGTTTAGGTCACATGTGTGCTCATGCTCAGCTGCGGGCCACATCCTAATCACAGGTCAATGGGATGAAAATTCCAGTCATCGGTTTTATGGGGAAAAAATCGGAATGTGGGTGAATCGGAGTAGCCCACTCTGGCTCTAGAAAAACAAGTCAAAGTCCAAGCCCTTCAGGACCCAGGATGGCACATGACCCATGGCAGTGGCATGGGGTTAGCTGACCCATAAACTAGGTACCCCATGGCAGAGAGATGACTGTCAGACAAATACCGAAGAGAGGGTCCTTTGAAAGTAACCCATAAATAATTGCAACTGCCTGAGGGCAAAGGGCCAAGCTGGGTTCACGTACAGGGTCAAATGCCCTGACTGGCGGTCCCCACCCCACTTCCTTCCCCAGCCCAAGTGAGAGTTAGCTCACATCTTCATTAAAATCCATGTAGTTAGACACGATGTGGATGTTGGGGTGGAATACTTTCATCTGCCGGATAATTTCCTCCAGGATATCGCCAATGCCCGCCGAAAAGATGAAAAGGGGAATGTTGTTATGGTAGAGTGTGTTGAAGAACGTCTTGTATCCCTCCCTGAAAAGAGAGGAAGGAATTTTGAAGTGGCACTGCCTCTGCTCCTGCTCTTTGTTTTCTACTTGGGTTACATGATTTAAAATTTGGCCAGCTGTGGTGGCTCATGCCTGTAATCCCAACACTTTGGGAAGCCGAGCGGGAAAGATCCCTTGAGGCCAGGAGTTCGAGGCCGCAGTGAGCTAGGATTGCGCCACTGCACTCTAGCCTGGGAGACAGAGTGAGACCCCATCTCTAAAAATAAATAAATAAAATAAAATATTTCTTTTAGGCCGGGCGCGGTGGCTCACGCCTGT